AGTCAAAATGGATTAAAGATCTAAACATTAAAGCAGAGACACTAAATCTCCTGGAAGAGAAAGTAGGAGGAACTCTTGAAGACATAGGGGTAGGCAGAGAGTTCATGAACAAAGATCAAATAGCACGGGAAACAGTTGAAAGAATTAATAACTGGAACCCGCTCTTACTGAGAATTTTTTTCACATCAAAAGAAATTACCAACAAAGTGAAAAGACAACCCACAAATTTGGAAAAAATCATGCCAATTAAATACTCAAACAAAGGTCTACTCTCTAGAATTTCTAAAGAACTAAAAAATATTGGGCCCCAAAATTTAAAGACCCGGCTCAGAAAAGGGCATCTGAGATAAACACATACTTCTCAGAGCATGAAATTAAAGAAGCGAATAAATGTATGAAAAAATGCTCCACATTACTAGCCATCCACAAAATGCAAATTAAAACAACATTGAGATATCATCTCACCCCAGAACGAATGGTAATTATAAAGAAATCACCCAACAACAAATGTTGGAGAGGCTGTGGGGAAAAAGGAACCCTTCTCCACTGCTAGTGGGAATGGAGACTGGTGCAACCATTGTGGAAATCAGTATGGAGACTCCTTAGAGAAGTTGGACTGGAAATCCCATTTAAATCAGCTATTCCTCTACTGGGAATTTTCCCAGAGATCTGAAAACATCATATCATAGGGATATATGTGTGCCTATGTTTATAGCAGCACAATTTGTGATAGCCAAATCTTGGAAACAACCAAGATTCCCATCACCTGAGGAATGGTTGAAAAAATGTGATACTTTTACACAATGGGATATTACTCAGCTATGAAGAATGATAAACTCGAAGCCTTTGTATTGAAGTGCGTGCCACTTGAAGATATAGTCATAAGTGAAATAAACCAGACACACATGTGTAAATATTGTATAGTTTCTCTAGTATAAGAACTTAAAAGAAGAAATACAAATAGAAAGGTATAATACAAGTAAAAGGAAAGCAGGATCTCAAGAACTAACTAATTAAGACAGGGAAAGGAGAAGAGCTAGGAAACATGACATTGATAAGCCACACAGTTATATGTAGAAGATGGGCAAGGCAATGATCCTGAGAATCTCCAGAAGATTTTTGAATCTAGCAGTTAATTGGAAAGATTCTCACCCTGACTAACT